CTACCCCTTGACAATGACATTTTCCTCACGCCATCATGGGAATCCCAATATGGCCCTAATACATTTCTGAGTTTGAGGGGTTTTACGAGCTCGAAGCCGCCATCCTAAAGCCTAAACCTTACCAAAGTCTGACCAGCGGAGAGGTCCTGAAACTTCGAAAGGAGATGAAACTGGAGCGGCTCACCGACGTGTGCTGGTGCGGGCTGTACCGTGGGTTCCCCCCCTAGTGTTTTACCTCAGGAATCACTCTGCTCGCCTTCGGTGCATGTCCAGTTTTTGTGCACCGGAGCCCTTGCTGGTTCCTGCGCAGTTTCCTGTGAGACGAGACACTGGACTTAGTGTCGTCGCGGACTTCTCGAGGGCGCGGCGATGTTTGGAACCACCCCGAAACCTTTTTTAGGCTAGACTTCTCAGGCCCCGCATGGTATGCTCAGGTTGCAAAACAATGAGTTCCTAGGTTCACCTGAAGTCGTGGTTCCTTAGAGTTTCGAGGATGTTTCATTACTGGAGGCCGCTTGATCGAACTTAAACCCTAACCGAAATACCCCCGAGGCGCCAAAAACCCCTAAACCCCAGCCCAGTGGTTTCAAGCTGGCTCAGGGTTCAGAGACGTGAAAACCGCTACAGGGTTTAAGGATGCATGTTTTGGGTTTGCGGATGTTTGATTATTCGGGTTGGGATGTGGTGAGTGAATGGAGTGATGTTTCAGGTGCGCATGTTTTGGCTTTCAGGCTCTATGCTGGGGGCTGCTGACCGTTAGTGCGCCTTAGGCCCCATCATCGAAGACCATCGCCGCAAGCTGGCTGGGGCCATGGGGGGGGGAAGCGATGGCTCTAGGTTTAGGGTTAGGGTGTAGCAATCATTGTACTGCATGATGACTATGCCCGAGCACGCCAGTATGTCGTATAAATCTTGGCAGGCAATGCACCGTACAGCATTTGAATGGCGTGCCGTGTAAAATGTACAACAACTGCAGATGTGCTGAATGAATGTCTGTCTTTGCAGCATCAGCACTCGTAATGCCGTCATTGGCATGCGGCTCCAGGCTATAGCGATCGGTGCGGCCTCCGCGAAAGCAATCGCCGCCAGGCAAGCTTGCGAAAATTCCAGACTCGGAGGTCGCGATTGGAATGTTTTTTTTTCCCAAACCCCTCTTCTCCCTCAACGCTCCTCCCGTCCCATTTTGTGAACACGTGTTATCCAAACCCGAATTTGTAGCAGAACCCATGCCCGTCCCACGTCCAGGTCTCGATCATGTTTTCGCCTTCGTTCCTGAAGCCGGGGCCCTGAGTCTTTTGAGCTTTATTTCCTCATGTGATGGGAAGGGATGCTAGAGGCAGAAACCGAGTATGTAACTTTTTCTACATATAATTGAAGGCTGGCAGATAAGTGCTTCTCAGGTTTCTATGCAGTGCTTCTGAGGTTTCTATGCTTGAGGGCTTGGTTTCCAAAATGGAAGAAGCAAGATGTCCAAGGCAACAAGTGGTGCTCACATGGAATAGGTGATTTCAATGGGTGGCGGCACCAGGCATACTTACCCTAAACCCTAAACGTCAAAGCCCCAGACGTTGAGTGCGCCCGGCTTGGTCCGTGAGTCGTTCGACTACGTGTGTCAAGATGAGACATGAAGGTGCACAGCACTACGTTTAAGGTTTCCTTCCACGGGGTGCTCTGTATGGCTGGACCGAGGCGGGACCCCCCGGGATGCTGTGCCGGCTACTTGGTTCATCGGTGGGCCCATGATTTCCAAGACATTCTCGAAAGTCTGCTTTGCCCCGTGTGCCATTTTGAGCATCAGTTCAAGCTGCCTAGTGCTTAAGCTTCGCCATGCGACAGCTTCGAGTGTCAAGTGAATCCGATGGTGAGGCTGCCTTTGTGCAGGTGCCGAACAGCCTATCCAGCAACAAGGGGTTTATCTTTCGTGTCGTCTTCCTGTTCGCCTTCATTGCCCTATGCGCATGCTGGTTTTTGCCAAAGCGGGCCACTATCACAAGAGGTGAAGTTGTGGGCCTCAGCGAAGAACTGAACAGGATTGCGATAATGGAAGAATCCTTGCCTGCGGCCTGTGACTCTGCCTCTCAGTTGACCGCGGTAGTCAAGGAGGTGTCAACTGGGAAGGCCGACAAAGAGACCGGGGCCACATTCTTGGGAGCCGTACGTTCGACCTCTGAAATCTGTGCCATAGTGGCGACGGCAGCCAACCTTGCAAGCGCAGGGACAGCCAGTGCGTACACCGTCGGGATTTGCGGCAGCATTGCCATTGCCGCAAGTATGGGAGGGGCGGCCTTGGCCGATGAAGCGTCCGGTGGGGAGGTTCTTGAATCCAAGGTGAATGGCATGATCACCAAACTGAGTAAGAAAATGAATCGTGAATTTCAAGTACTGAAAGACGAGATAAGCGATGGCTTTGATACCGTATTGGACGGAGTGAAGGACGTCAAAAAGTTAGTCCTCACGGGCCAGCTTGATGACATCCATACAACCATCAGTGTAGTAAATGGATGGTACAAGGACTACATCATTGAACTCGGCTTGAGCGCATCTGAATCTGGCCTTGTTGATTCGACGCTCAGAAGCTATGAGAGCGCCCTGAGTCCAGACAAGTTCGAAACATATGTGGACACCGCACTCCAGTTGGAGAAGAGCTGGGAGCGCACCGTCCAGTTTCATGTTCCAAAATTTGTGAGGGCCCGAACGCAGATCCTTGCTTTGCGTGAGGCTCTGTGCCTCCTCGAGCGCACATGCAAGCAAGAATTTTTCACGAATCGGGCGAATGATGTGAAAAATGACATGAAGGAGTACAAGAAGACAGTGGCCAAGAATTCCCTGTTCGACATTTCCAATAAGAATTTCGCAGATCTTGGGCATGCCTGCTTCAAATGGCACAGTGACAGTGAATACCGCTCTATACATGGATACATTGACGACCTGCCCAAGACCCTTACACGTTTGGACCTGCCCGATACCATCAATGTGCGCGGCAATGTGAAGAATCTACCTCGGCACTTGACATACATTCAACATCATTCAACTACTGGGAAGGCCCTGCCGTTGGCCCTCGTGGCAATGCATTGGCGGTCAGATTGACGACCTGCCGGACAAGGCGACGCATGTTTTTATGCCACACGCCAAAATACATGGCGACATCAGTAAGATCCACGAGAACATCGAGTACCTGAACATTGGAGAGGGGCTGAGCGGAGACCTTGCGGGGCTGCGCTCAAAGGCGTTGAAGCATTTTGAAACAGGCTCATGGACTGGTCGCATCGTTGGAGAGTTGCAAAACCTCCCTCAGAACCTGGAGGTGCTCCGCGTCCGTGCGAACAGTAACTGTTTGGCTCATGTCCAGGGAGATTTCTCCGATCTGCCGTATGGCCTCCAAGTCTTTGACGCAATGAGCTTATCCGTAGCAGGCAGCTTGAATGGTCTGCCCCCGAGCCTGAAAATTGCCAATTTGTGTGTGGATCACGTGTCTGGGGAGCTGTCGGACCTACCACCCGGCATCAAAGACATCGGCTTTCACGCGAGCCGTGACGGATACTGTGGCATCACCGGTGATGTCAACGACCTCCGGCAAAGCCTTACCACTGTCCACATGCGGGAGTGCTACTGGGTCACTGGAAGCCGCAGTGCGCTGCCAAGGTCGGTGGATCTAGACAGTCTAGACATGCTTAGCCAAGAGGCACGGGAAAAAAACAAGCCTCGGGGTTTCTTGGAGAAGGCTGGGGCTGGCTTGGGAGCCGTGGGAACTGGCTTGAAGGGTGCGGCAGCTTCCTCTGCAGCTGGCATAGGCCACGGCATAGGCCATGGCATAGGCCAGGCCGTCAACGGCATCGCTTGGTTCTTGAAGCCGGTTGATGATTGCGGGAATTTTTGTGGCTGAGTCCGCAAGGCCAACAGCGCGAACAGCGCGAACCGCGCGAACAGCGCGAGCCGCGCGAACAGCGCGAGCCGCGCGAACCGCGCGAACCGCGCGAACAGCGCGAACCGCGCGAACAGCGCGAACCGCGCGAACAGCGCGAACAGGGCAACGGAGCGGTTCATAAGTCCACTCATGAGCACCAAGGCCGCAACTCTGGTCGGTTAAAGATCGATCACGAGGGATAGCGAAGCGCGGGCTTTGGATGCTGCGCTCCGAAGGAGCAGCTTGTGATTCTTGGCTCTTCGGCTGAATGCTGCATGCCTTTGTACGCTGTTGAGCTGCAAGACAGTTGTGACAAAGCAGCGGTTAGGAATGTTACCTGTTGTTTTCCTGCTCAACTGCGGTCTGTCTTCGTGGGCCTCTGCAGGGCTTTTCAGAGCGAATCAGAGCGAAGACAAAACGTAAAGGTGCAAGAAATCTCCATCCCTGGTGAAAGAACACTTGAAGTGGTTGAAGTGGTCGGCTCTTAGCATTGCATTGGGGGCTCAACGAGCCGGAGTGACGAACTGAGGTCCACGGAAGTTGGGCCGGTCCTGGCAACGCACAGTTTCAGCTTGGCGACCACGTTGCAGGAACGGCAGTTGACAGGAGGTTCCTGTGGGGAGGTTCTGCCATTATGTGGAAGCCATTGAGAAAGTTGTTGGGGGTGGCTAGTGCAGTCGTCTCCGGAGGACCTAGCGTCTCCCCTTCGACCTTCGATTGTTAGACCAAAAAGCACATACTGAGAGAGGCTCACATCCGCATACTTGTGGCAGTCCACTCTCCACCTCCCTCATCCTTGACACAATCCACGCCTTTAGCAAATCCAATTGCAAGCGGCCACTCACACATGCTGATGTTGCAAGGTCCAGTGTAAGGGACCGGACAGGGCAGGACAGGAGTGGACTGGACAGTCTGCGCGACCAACCTCAATCTTTTATCGTTAGTGCGGGATGAAAACTTTTGCGCTGAATACCCTACGTAATGCAGGTGCACAAGTTGGTGCCTACTGCCAGGCTTTGTTTAGCACCTGTTTCCAGCCTGCGTGCAAAACGACAACACAAAACCTGATTCGACAAAACTTGTGTCGAACTACAAAAGGGTCCGGCTGTGGGATGTGCGATTATGGAAGGGGTCCTGCCGTTTTGGTGCACGTGGGCGTTCGTAGTATAACGTGAACTCGGTTTGACATGGAACAAAAGTACGATGAGTGCTTTTTAAAGTTCAATACCTTGCAATGATTGCATGTGCAACTTGTTCGGCGGCTCAGCAGATGTTGATCACGGTTTAGCTTGCTGAGGCTTTCAGTGACCTGTTGCTGCCCCTGCGCTTTTGTCTAAGCCCCACACCTATGGTGAAAGTTTCGTTGTTGGCGGCCTGAACGTTTTCTTGCTTGTGCACGAAAAGCTGCCATTGTGGATTTCAAGGCCATGCCCGGCCAACATTTGAACCCCGCTCGGCTGTCCTTCACACCTGACATGTAGCATGATCCGCCGGTTGGGGGGCATGTAACGTGCAGGCGCTTGTCGGTCGTGCTGCTGATTGAAGGCCGCTCTCCAATTTGTCTTCGTCGGTCGTTTTGCGGCTTTCTTTCCCAACACCGCAACTGCAAGTATTCGACATTGTGGGGATCTTCGAAATGGCCATGTCACAAGAAATTGTGCTACATTCGCCATCTGCAGTCAAGCTGTGTCTGGTGCGTCTGCTGCTTGCGTGCAGGGCTCAATTGTGAATACTGTGCGAAAAACGTTGTGGGATCAAGCATGGATGTCTCTACATTTGCGTAATGCAATATTCAATCATGCATGCTTTATGCATCTTGTCCAGAGCCCTTTTTTTCAGCTGTTTCCCGCTTTTCGCATGGAATGTAGACAAGAAGTTGAAACACACAGGATTTCCTCTTAGCAGCCATGGGACCAATTGATATGGCGACGAGCGCCATGAACCTGTCATTGGTACCTGCCGTGGAAGACATGATTGCACGAACAACGGCATGGCAGTCAAGCGCAGATGGCCGAACGAATCTGCTTGAAGCACTGCAGAGCTTGTTCAAAGCCTACGATGTGCAAGACTCAGGAAACATTTCCTGTAACGATTTCGTCAAGTTGGAAATACGAAACGGCCTGGATCAGGGAGATCCCCGCAGGATCTTGCAAGCCTTTCCCAAGATGTTGCGGGCTGATTCTTCGGGATCTGGAATGATGAATTTTCTGGAATTCTGCACTGCCCAGATCACTTCGACTGAGGCATCCGCAGCTTGGCAATCGATATGCGTGAAACCTAGTTGGGCTGAAGATTGAAAACCGTTTCTCAGACATGGAGGTTTGGACAGTTTCTCTTGCCGCGCGTTGGTAGCATGAGGATTTGTTGAAGCTGCACAGTGCTGGCTAGCTGAACGGACGTTTCCACCAATAAAAAGGCTCCTGAATTGGGACAACTTTCAAGATGCAGCACACCCGAGGCATCGCGGAAACTTCCGGCGATTTCAGAGTTGCTTCGTGCAGCTAAACGCGATTTAGCCAGCACGCTCTCCGAAAGGCGAGGGTGGTGATGTGTGCACGAACGCAGCATGTCGAATGATGTGAATCATTTTTGCCTGGTTTCTTTGCGGAGTTAGCTGATGGAACTCGTCTTGCACATCTGCGGTTGGCAGGTGGCGAATGGGCGCACATTATTCCGTAGAGATCCGGCAGGAGCTTCGGGAGGCAATGGTGGGATGTCGGTTTGGGCGCAATAAGGGCTGCACCATATAGTTCATTGAAGTTCATTACTTGATGTTTTCAGCTGTGGACGCGGACATCACCCCTTCTTTGCAGGTGTTTTCCAGTTGGAAGGTGGATGGTGCCTTGTGCCTTTCTCCCTGCGACTGGGTGATGGCGGCAAAAGTCGTAGAGGCAGAGTGTGACAACATCTTAAGCGCAAAGTGGACGGGCGAAGCATCTTTTGCGGAGGCAGATCGGAATCGTGATGGGCTCCTTGGCAAGTCTGACTTGGTTAAGTTAGGCGTGGAAAGGTGATTTGATCCCGTAGTGGAACCGAGGCTGGTTGAGCTGTTGAAACCAGAGCATGCGTGTTGTTTTTTGCTCTGCAGTCGTGTTGGCACCTTCTCAGATGCCTTTTTTGGATACTTTACAGACACGAGCGAGGCTGGTTGACTTGGACGAGTTCATTTCGTTTAGCTGTGGTGTGTTGGAAGAGTTCTACGAGCAAGACTTGTCCAGCGCACTGCAGATGTTGAGAAGGGTGAAATCACACCGTGACAGCCGCCCTCCCACCTTGAATGTTAAGATTGCTGTTTACATGCCACAAGCCTTTGGAGTTTTCCAGCTCCCGGGCCATGCCCAGCACATGGAATCTGCTTATCGCCATGCCCTGGATTTGGAGCTGCCAAGCTCGATAGCACGGCTTCCTGATTTTCTGACGGTTCTACGCCTCAAGCTTGGTCTGCTCCAAATGTGGTTCGCAGTATTCTGGCAGTCGCCTGGTCGTGGCATGGAGAAGACGTTGGATCTTCTTTCGCCAGAGAACGGCACAAAGCTCCTCCATGACATGTTTGAAGCTGCTGCAAAAAAGACAGGTTTTGTGGCGCCCACGATTTATGTGACCAATGTAAGGCCAAGAGCATTTCAACTGCAGGACGTGTCCCTCGGCCGGCATTTCATGGTGTGTGTGTGTTTTTTGTGAAACGTTTGTTCCATTAAGCACAGTTCTCATAGGCAGATAGTGAATGTAGTGCGATTCTCGCATCATCGGACGGCCATTGAACTGTTCAGCAAGGCTCTGTCACGAGCTGGAAATGAACAGCCTTCGAATTCAGACGGGCACACGCTGGTGTGTGGATTGGGAGCTGCAGCTGTTGGGATCGGCCCGGAGTCGATTCGTGAAGTGTCCCAGAGACTTTCGCATAGCTCTAGGCGACAGCCTGGTCATCAGCCTGCCTCCAGAAGATTCAGGGATTGTGGTCAAGGTCTACATGGGAGATGGTGGGGCGCTTTCTAAGCCAAGCCTTGAGCAAGTACAAGTCCAGAAGGGCAAGCGAGGCAAGCAGGCCGGGTCGGATGTGAGAGCACTAGCTGTCAGTTGGTTCACGGACACGTTGGTGTGTGATGGCATACTTCATGCACGCCATGCGTTAACTATGAGAAGGCGCAGGTACAGTTTGCATGTACAGCAGCATAGCACGACATATCTGAGAGACGGTGTGGGCGGTTTCAAATTAATAAGTCGTTGGCTCGTTTTGGGTTCATCGTATACCATTTGCAAAGAAAGATGAGGATACCTGTTCGCAGTTTGTGAACCACATTGAATTCTGCAACGTGTTGAACCTTGTGCTGATCCCAATTGGCAGGTTATTCAGGCTCTGGCGGGATCTGCTTCAGATGGCAATGGAGGCCGTCTGGGGTTTAGGGTAGTTCAGGGTTTGGGGTTTAGGACTGTGGGTCAACTATTTGCCCTTGCTTCAGGAGCTGGCAACGGTGGTGCTGGCAACGAACTACTCGTGCCAACTGCTCCGAGAGGGCCCAAGCCCGCCAAGAAGCGGCCGCAAAGTGGAGTCTCCCAACGCACCGCACGGCTTCCAGTTGACAGACGGCTTGTACCGTGGCAGGAATTCCTTTTTTATCGTGACTTTTCTGTTTTGTCTGGCTGCATTCACCATGTGTCACCAACAGCATAGCGATCATACACTGGTGGTCGCAAGGTACCGATGCAGATACCACATCACGTGTGGTGTGACACACATTCAACTTCTGGAGCATGTTCACATACTCGCCATCTCAATCTGCATGCGTACACGTTGACACGCGCTCGCACTCTGATGCACTCGCTCGCCACATCGCTCCTGTGCTTACTCGGTGGATAAGCCTTGGCGAGCGCAGTCAAGCACAGCCATAAGAGTGTGACAATGAACAATTAAAAGCACTGACGAACCAAGAATGTTGTTGCAATATGTCGCAATATGCGAAGCTCTCATCGTTTTTTGGACGTCTGGCCTCGCGAAATCTGAAGCCATCATTTTTACTGGGCTGGATGCAAGCAACGCCCGGCCGTGAATCATTGATTTATCTCGTCGCGGTAGTATTGTTTGTTTTCGTGTGTGGAGCGTTGCCGTGCTCTTGGAAAGCCCCATGAAGCGCAGTGCTTGACGTGTTTTCTGGGTGAGTTTTCTTTTGTTTGGGACTTCTCTTATTGAGGGGCTCTTGGAGTGGTCTGTCGTTGTATTAACCAACGTCTTTTGAAGATTCTTGCGCCCTTTCATGTTTTTTCATGGTCTCCCGCTGTTTGGGGTCTGTTCTTGCACGATAAATGTGTGCTCAGCCGTATCATGTTCATCACCGATGAAGAGCGAGCCAGGTTTTCATCGCGCAGAAGGAGGGTAGTTGCACGCTGTTTGTGGAACTCAGCAGCTCGGCTGGATATCAGGGGCGATGATAGGCTTCGGAACGGATGTGCACCAGGGTTTTGCATGGATTGGCAGGCTGGGAGCACCAGGAAGAGCTCTTGGCTCAGGGCATCTTCCCGATTCCTGCTGTGGAGGTTGGGACTCGTGTAGGTTCATGTTTGTCACGCTTAGACTTGGATATTTCGTCATTTTTGGATTTTCGCCCGTGAACAAAAGCCGGACCAGGCTTCCGTGGGGAGGCTTGGGCCATTGCAGATCATGGTCCAGAAGACCGCTCCGCCAGTGCCAGAACTGCAGAAGTCCAAGGGTGTGTTGTGGTGGACTGGAAGCAAGCCCGGCACTCAGTTTCCATCAGTTTCCCGAGGCACAGATGCATTGCCAAATGCCAAACCCAGCCCTGCTCCAGCTGATTCGAGCTGCGCTGCCGAGGTGGGCTGCAAAGCAGATGAAGTCGAAGCCGCAGCCGGAGTGTCGGCCGAAGACGCCCGCTGAGATGCAGAACCAATCCAGCTGGGCACGGGCTCCATCGAAGAAACCGTGAACCTCCGAGGCAGAGAAGGCTTTCACAATTTGCTCTTTGAGGCAATCCTTGCAGGAGTGTCACATGCGAGCTGCAATGTGTTGATGCGAACACGGCCAGCATTCAAGCTCCACGTCAGGCCCTTTGAGCCGTTTCTCCTGTTGTAATTATGCTGTATTATGTTGCATACTATTGCTTTACAATTGAAAGTTGTTAAATGCAGTCCGACGCCATGCGATGGTGAGGCTGGCAAGAGGCATACTCTGGGTTCTTTCAGAATGTTCACCAAAATATCGTACTCTGTACGTGTGTCTGATGCGACGCGAAGACACAGCCCTTGCTTTCTTGTAGGGTTGGCCTAATAGACACAGTGTAGAATCTGTAAGTTGTGCTTAAGATACTTCAGCGTGGGTTTGTGGAACCTTTCCGCGCAGAAAGTTGCGCAGAGGGGAAGAGAGAATGGAGGCGTCAAATGTGCAAATTCATCAAGCCACTTAGTGGCAATCAGAGGGTGAGCTGTTGCTTGGACAGAACTGGACGCGGCTGGCTCAGTAGTGCTGTTGCCAGTACAAGTTGTTTCGTCTTCTGGGAAGACTCTGAGAATGGCTGGCTGACAAAGGAGCAGCCAGACTCTTCCGGCAAGAGTGCAGCTCCTGCGCTGTGTATTGTGACAATCGGCATCCCACCGATTATCTTCATAGAGCAGCAAAAATCATCAGACAGTAAAAGCCTGCACGCAGAAAACCAACGAACGCTATGGTGGAATCATGTTAGGATTTCGTCTACCATGTATGGTGTGCTGATGTCCTGGGGTGCTGCTCTGTGCCGCTCGTTGCCCTATCCCCGGCGTTTTCAATTCCAAGTAATGGACGGACGTTTCACGAAGCATGTTTCAAAACATGCAAAGGCGAGTGCCATGAAGCGCCCGGCAGTTAGTCTTTGTCTGAACTAAGGAACCGATTAGCGTTGAGGGTTGGCCACATGTCGAGAGCAAGCTGGACATTCATTCAAAGCCTTCGCGCTCGGCACTGCCAAACCAGCAGACCAGAGCGATGGCGGAATAAGTTTGTGGCGCATCTGCTTTCAGGACCTTCTGGGCAGTGTTGTGGGCTGGGATGGTTTGGAGCCTGATAATCTCAGAGAGTGGGAAAGAGCAGTGTTTCCAGGCTTGCAGAGTTAATTTCCTGAGCTCCCGCAGCTTGCACACGTTGCCTCGTACCAAGCAGCTCAGCAACACCTTACTTCCCAGTTGTGAGCTTCCCAAAGCTATCCATCAGGCGTCATCTCAAATGATCCTGCTCGGCAGTAGAGCACCGATTAATCACCCTGCTTACTCAGGGGTGGGCATTGTGGCACATGGGGATCCATTTGAATCAGGATTTACAAATTGCACGCACAAGCCCAAGCGACTCAAACGGCTCAAGCAATGCTCTCTCCTGGAATTGCTCTCCATGTGGAGAGCGCTCCTCCGACTTGTGCTGGACATGGCAGGGATGGCGGGTATGGTGGGCATGGCGGGCATGGTGGGCCGGCTCTCACATGCAGCTGACCCGCAGGAGGGCAACGGCCTCTGCTGGTACAACAGACACTTGTCCACTTCATACTGTAGTGAGTGTGGTGAAGTGAAACTCACGAAGTCACGGAGGCCATTTGCTCCTCTCAGTACGTAGCTCATGGCACTGAGGCAACAGGACTTACCTTCGATGCTGCATTGAAGCAGATCTTGCTTGCTGGCAGGGAATCTGGGTTACGGAGGAGCTTTGTTGCCATTCTTTGACGGATCAGTACCAGCAATGCTTCGACAGCATTGAGCAGAACGTCCTGGTAAAGCTGCAAAAACTACGAGAGCTCCAACTTGAGGCCGAGGCAGCTGAGCTCGAGCATCATGTTTCGACCATACGCGAGCACATGTATCCTTATGAAGCGCTTGTGGCTCAACCAATGGCTATGTGGTCATATGCCTGCAGCGTGCCGGACTCCCCTTTGCTTTGGAGTGATTTCTGCGACTGCTGTGATCCTGTGGAGCCGTATTGTGAGGGAGAAGGGTTTCGAAGCCAAGAACTTCAAGAGCATGTTTGGCGGCTGTATGCCAGGTGCTGCTTTCCTGTTTACGCGCGGAAAAGTTGGGGTCCAGCAGATGCCGATCTTCAGAGGACCATTGAAGTCGCCTTGCAACCAATGCGACCTCGCACGAGCATAATTCAGAAAGATGGTCCTGATCTGTCTTGGGGGATGGGGGGCACTCAGCTCGCGCGAGGTTGCTTGATCTCAATTCATCAGAATGCGACTGTTACAGCGTGTCCTGAGACCCATGCCTGTCAAGATTTCGACTGCTCCTATTTACGTGCGGTCCTGCTGGCGTTGCAGGTCATACAAGCCACTCGCCCACTTCCTGTCTTGGACTTCCTATTGAATGCCGGTGATGAAACGGTTGAAAACACGTTACCCGAAGCTCCAGTCTTCACTCGCACAGGGACACGATGGACCTCCACGTTGGCATTGCCGTTCGAGTGGCAGCTGCACCCTGCACAATGTGTGCGTAAGCTGAGAGAGGGCATGCTGGCCCTGGAAAGGAGCCGGTGGGAGGAGCGAAGTTCTGCTCTTATATGGAGAGGCACGCACTCGAACCTTTGGGCTCCGGACTGCAAAGCCGCACCCGCGTCAAGAGATGAAGCTATGATGGCCAGGTGTGTGACTCTACCAGCAGGTGAGCTAAGGGAATCCGTTTGGAACTTGAGCACGTGGCTGCAGTTGCCACGTGGGCGCCTCATTTGGCTTAGTAGGTTCGTACCCTTCATTGATGCAAAGTTCGTGGAGAGCCGAACTCTGCCGCCGATGTCCCCGGACTTGGAGCGCTTCCTGCGGGATGAAGGGCTCTTTGCGCCGTGGCTAAGTGCCGCCGAAGTTGAGCAGTACAAGTACCAAATTGCCATGGAGGGAAACAGTGCAACGGACCGCTTGACATGGCAGCTCTTCATGGGATCGGTGGTTCTCATCCCAGACCAGCCGTGGCAGGTCATGGCGCCACTGAATATGTTGCAGCCGTGGATCCACTTTGTCCCAGTCTCGCGACCTGCCTGCAGCTTTACGAGAGAGCAATCAGCAGATGTCGTGTCGACCACACACACAGGCAACAAAACAACCAGACTGTTGAGTCCTGATTACTTACGATCCTCCAATTCTCAGCACATGGATGGCCCAGCAGGTTCCTGTGACTTTCTGTGACTTCCTAGAAGGGAAGCTGCCGAAAAACTCGTGCTGTTGTTTGTCCATTATTTTTTTTGCATAGGCATAAGTGGATGAGGTACGACCTTAGTGACCTGATGGATCGACTGCAGTGGCTGATCTCGCACGATGCCGAAGCGAAAGTCATCGCTCAGAACGGCGTGGCATTCGCCCATCGCGGCTTGCCTTAAGCCATTTAAGCCAGCTGCCTGTCGAAGAGCCATCTTTGGGTGTGTGTGTGTGTGTGTGTGAACTTCGTTTGTGAGCGTTTCTTTTGTATTATTTTGCAAAGATCAGGTAGAGAGAGTCTCCTCGAAGCAAGTCAAGAAACTACCGACAGCTGCAGCCGACAAGACCCTTCTCGCTCAGGGCCGAGAAGAAAACCAACCACAGAAACGTCGCCCTTGTTTGTATCCGCACGCACCTTTGGCAACACCGGGAGGAGAGGGAGGAGAGGGAGGAGAGGGAGGAGCCGGTTGGCACCCTGCAGGTAGCTTCGGAACTGATGTTCCCAAAAAGTCACTGGTGCCTCTTTGGTATTCTTTGTGACTTGTGACCCTGCTGTGCCACCCTTGTGTGATGGCCTGCTTTAGCAACATGCTGCAGTCAGAGCCCGAAGTCAAAACTTTCGTCTTGTGATGCTTGAAACCCAGCTCCTTTTGCCCAGACCGGCACAGCAGTAGTTGTATGTCTACTCTTGTCGAAGCTGGTCTTGGTCACTGGGTTTGGTGCCGCATTCGCACATTTTGTGGGGCCCCAGCTACACTATATGAAAAAATGTGCACGTTCTTGGCTAGACGTTTGTAGCAGCGTCTATTCGGGGAACCACTTGTTGTTCTGACATTCGCACAGTCGCTGTGCCATTTTTGGCATATCCTGCTCGTGCCGAGTCACACCTGTTTTGCGCAGCATATCGCAGCATCCTGCTGGGGCAAGCAAGTTTGGTCCCGACCGTGACAAATCGTTATGTTTTCGGCCTCTAGTTGTACAGTCTGAGCTCGAGGCTGCTTTGCAACTTACCGTTCCATCTGAAGAGAAATGAGCGTGGACTCCGATCTTGAAGGAAGTAACTCCATAGAGTCACTGTCTGTGCATTTCGCGCCCAGGTCACTTGACGTGCGGCTTGGCTGTTGGCATAAGCGGGCTGCCGCCGGCTGCTGTTCATTCTTGTGATAGCTGACGGCTTTGCAGCTGTTGAGTGATTGTACAGCTGTGGCCTAGCCTTGTCCACAGCGAGTTCAGTTCATCCCACCTAGTTCGCGCAAGTTCCAGTTTTGCATTTAATTGGGTCATTGGGCCTAGGCGACGACTACATCCATTACGTGGACCGTTTGTTGCGTGCGCTCCTGGACATGCAAAGACTCGAAGATGGTGTTTTCATTGGGACCAAGTTCTGGGTGTGATTCGTAAGATTTCCTTCCATTGGAGCACACATGCTCCTCTCACGTGGATTTTTTGTTTTTGTAGTGGGCATTGTCGTTTGTGCGGCATGGAGATCTGAGGTATGCCCAGAAGTTGCAAAGCTGAGCCACAGCAATGAAGTCGCCCCGTTGCAAGGAACTTTATTCAGCGGTGTGTGATATGCGTCTTGAGTGGCTTCGCAAAAAGACTCGAACATACGAGCCGGAGAGATGCTGGCGCGGTACAGACACATATCCGAAATCGCACAGGAGCAGACATCATGGAGGACCGTTGCAGTAAGTGGATGTACAGGACAGTCGACTGCAAGCCTCCATGGGCTCAAGACTGTGACGAGCTGTGTTGTGCCCCAGCCTGTCGAGCCATGACAAAGGCGGCGACGCGTAGCACATCGTATCGCAGTGGACGTGTTCGTTAGCATGATGCCTGAAGTAGTTTTTCCTACAGCATGCTTGCTTTCCTCGGAGTGCGTTCTTCGAAGGTAGGACAATACATGAGTTATCGCAACTATAGTTTCCAACTCATCGAGATCGCAGTGCTTTCAGAGTTTCAGCGCAGGCGGTGTACTACAAGCTTTGGGCATCCACCGCCGCCTGGACCCAGCGAAGCAACTACGGCTGGTACCAGGTGCGAGCACAGTGTGAGCGCTTTCCGAGGAGTGAACTCCCGTAGCCACTTAGTGCCCCAGTGTAAGACACGGCGAACTGTTTTCTTTGCGAGTTGCATGCATGAGTGCTCTCTGCTTGAGCCACGCTGACGGTTCCATTCCCTTCCTAGCCTGAGAGCACTGGATGTGGGAGGGGGACGATTTTGGAAGAAGTTGCTACTACAGCGAATCTTTTTTTCGGTCTTGTCACGGACCTGTGTGTGCTTTCGTTGGAGGGTGGGAGTCAGTCTTGGTGGGATGTGGTGGGGTGAGGCGCCCATTGCATTGAGGCTCGGGTAGAACCTCAACCTCGGCTGTGCGCTGACTTGTTCAGGTTTGGTCTCGCATGGTTCCCTGGGGAGCTTATGTCTGGTCCTGAGAATTTTCGAATGTCATCCCGCCAGATATGCGGGCTGCCCTTCAGGGAGAGCCTGTCGGTGTTGAGGTGGCCGCCCCAACGGCTGCTTGGTACAGCTTCGGCCCACGGCTCAAGAGCACCAGTGCCACACCATTGTTCTGCACTGCTCCCCTCGCGTTTCTGGCGTTTCTCAAACTTTTGTGCATGTTGCCTGAACTTTGAACTCTCCCGAATCTGACCTTCCTCACCTTCATGTCCGCTCTCAGGCTGGTGGAGCGACGAGTGGAAGAAGATCTTGACGCTGGGCATCTATGAGCCAAAGCCTTGAGCCGCTTAGGGGGCCCTACATTATCCTACATGTTACTTTTTGCTACTTGCAGGATGGCCTCTGAAGCAGAGGGCCTCCTCGGCACTGTCTCTCTCTGCAAGCCGTGCAGTTCAGGCCTCCCTCCATTCATTGGGACTATGTCATGACAGTGCCGTCCCGAGATGTGTTCATTTGCTTGAGACACCAGTTCAGCAGTGCCGCACTTCCAAGAACATGCGCTCCGATTTCGTTAAGTACCATGCGCAGTGACGGGCTCAGACTGCGAAACTGGGATAAACTGCACGGTCGCTTGACAGGTTATGTCCGTACAGGAACTGATTGATAGTGCTCATGCGCTAAGCAGAAGCAGCCAAGTCAGTACGGTTCGGCTCTGTCGGCCTCCGGAAAGGTTTCGTTCTGGTCCTTTTTTCGAAGACTCTACAGGTACCCGGGCATTCCCTACAAGTGAGGGGCCCTGCTGATGTGTTTGACATGTGCCACGCTTGGTTTCCGAGACCAGTTGTGCATAGCTGAAGCTCCTGCGGACAAACAGAAGAGAAGAGCTCTGAGTCCGCGTCGCGTGGGCCGCGCTTTGGCCGCTCTTGGGCCTTGTGTCTGAAGCAGCTGACATCCGCAGCCAGTGGCTCAAAAGTTGAAGGGAGGGCTCTGGTACAATGACGAAGGCGATCGATGCCGACGATGTGTAATTGTAAACGCTTGCGCGCGCCGCCTCGGCAACCCGGCCCGATGCTGAAAGTCCTATGTCGCGTCGTGGTGCAACACCACGCAGTGTCATGAGTTCAGGAGGTAGGAGGCCGCAGGGGTGCAAGGAGGGGGGTTACGGGTTCACAAGGGTGTGGACCCCCCCAAAAACAACCACGGTTTGGGCAGGTCCTTCAAGAGCGGGGGGGTGGCGGGAAGGCGGGAAGGAGACCAGAACTGCCTCTTCTGGACGCCGAGGCGAACATACGCCTGCTGTGAGCTACCAGTGGCCGTGTTGTGTTTGACGCTGAGACTTGACCTCTCCCATTGGTGCTTCAGGCCGTCTACTACAAGCTCTGGGCATCCACAGCTGCGTGGACGCAGCGCAGCAACTATGGCTGGTACCAGGTAGGAGATGGGAGGTCTACGCGCGCGGCTTCAAATTTTCTTTCATGGTGTTGAGAGGTCTGGTCTCGGATGGTCCCCTGGGGCGCTTATGCCAAGTCCTGAGAGAGTTTGCGCAGCCGGCCGAAGGAGCGCAATGACTTCGGTACAAGAGAGACCTCTCTGATTGATCTTAGGAGGAGCTTAGAAACTAGAGCTCCCAATAGCCCTTCATATCCTTTAACTATAATATGTAGGGCCGTTACTGTAGTTTAGGGTCTGTTCCTTAAATAAAGGGCATATATTGGGCTCACTTAGGCAATGTAGACCAGAGTCCTTGTTTGAGGTAGCAGCACCGACAGCTGCCTGGTACAGCTTCGGCGCGGGTCCAAGTTGGCTTGGCCATGTTTTCAGGGCTCGACGTGCAGCCATGCGGGGTTTTTTTGCGTTCGTATGATTCTGCTTTGCCACGCGGTCTGACGGTCAAGTTTTGCGGCTAAGCGTGCTGCGGTGGTGAGTCAGGATGGTGGAGCGATGAATGGAAGAAGATCCTGACTCTGGGCATCTATGAGTCTGGGCCTTCTCAACCCGAATACAAAGAGTCAGCTCTTGTATTGGGTCCATTGGGCTTAATCCGGCCCCAACCTCTACAGTGACCCTCAGCCCCACACATCCCCAGACCCACTGGACCCATTGGTACAAGGTCACCTCCCCACCCGCCAGATCCCACCAGCATTATTTATTTTGTTACGTTGTGACCCCTGTGCTGCCACTTGTACCAGTGTACTCTGACAACACCTGTCATCATTGTTGATGTTTGGTTTTCTTCTTTCGGGATGATGCTTCACTCGGGTGGGCGAAGAAGCTCCGATCCTGCGCCAAACTTTTCTTCATGCGAGCCTGAGGCCTCCATCCATCCACTGGGACTACGTCATGACGGCCTCAGCCTCGATGGTTCAAGGATGTTCTCAAGAATACGCTCCCGAAAACAGAGAGAACCAAAGGCAAAGGCAGTTGCAGGCCCCAAGAGAAGCTGCTGAGTGTCCCAGTTGCCCATCCCCGGCACGCTAAGAACATGCGCTCCGACTTCGTGAAGTATCATGCGCAGTGACCGCCTCGGCAGCTTGGGGTGAGCCGCGGTCAAGCGGGTAGCCCATGTGTTGGCTGAGGTACCCTGGCATCCCTTACAAGTGACAAAGTGAGAGAAGGTGCCCCAGCGTCTATTTCTCCCTAGGTCTTTTTGAAGCCTAGTGGTTTGTTTGCAGAAGGAGGATGGGAGAGCCAGGCGCAATGAAAAGTCACGCATAGCTTGCGATGGCGGGCACAGCTCATGCTTTTTTTTACAGGTGGCATACGGCGACTCTGCAGATTCCTGCTTGTATGCACCCTGGCTCAACTTGTGTGCTCCAGCGGGGCAGTGGGCTCCCCAAGGGGCGGCGCTTGAGGTGGGCCATGTTCTTCAAATCATTGCTGTGCTTGTTGTGAGTGCATGCAAACATCTTTTCCTCTCCGGGCTTGGGGGTTTATGCGCAGGTGCTTCTGTTGGCTGGTTGCATGTGTACATGTATAATGCACCTGAAGCAGGCCCGCTCTCTGGCCATCGCCCCCACCACCTGGGACTCCGTCGCCAGGCGAGCCCCGGTGCGTGCTTTCCATGAGCGCTGCATGTGGAGTTCGGCTGTGATTAGGATCCAAAGCCTGCGATTACCTGGGGTCAGGCTCCGACTCAATGTGGCTCGTGCGACTTCTGCTCGCACGCCTGGCCTGGGCTTGAGTGGTAAGGGTCAGTGATCAACTCGTGGTCTCTGGCAAGACCTTGGCACAGTTGTAACGCTGAAGCTCACTGCTACCGCGGTACGGAGTGAGCAGCGCATTGAGTTCACCGCCTTGGTGAGAAAAAAGACAAGAGGAGCACCTCTCGTCGACAGCAGAGAGATGCAGAGAGCCGGAGAGAGCTGTGTAGTAATCATAGTAATTTGGGGTACTGTACTGTGCTGTGTTGGGTCCTTGGTGGCAGGTCGCGCTGCTCTCTTCCACGCAGGGCGCCCTTCTGAAAGGTCGCCCCACATGCCTGTCAGGTATGCTCGCTCGATCTCGCTCTGCATGCTTGTGATCGCTCGGCTTGTGCAGTGTCAGCAGCTTGCAGTGGGCACGCCGCTCATGTCCCCATTGCACCAAGCTGTGGGTCACAAAATTCAGAATTCAAACAAAGTCAGGAGGAAGCAGTTTGCGAAGCAAAGCACGGAGAACAACGTCCAAAGTCGGACACCACCATGAGGACCCTCGGCTGCATTCTGACAGAGCGGCCCCAAGACATCCCAAGACCGGCTTAAGCTGGGTTCAACTCCCGGGTTCGGTGAGGCGCTGCTTTTCAACAAGCACGCGATCAAGCCGCAGCCGCAGCCTGCTTTCCTGCCACAAACCTCCCTTCATTCGAGTGCGGACTTGAAGAGTGGACAACTCTTTGAGGTCCAACCGTGCACATAGGCACATGGGCGAGATGTCTACCGAGGCTTCGGAGGGAAAGTTTTGTGGCCAGAGCCAGAACTTTTTTTGAGTCGTCGAACATCGAACACTCACTGAAGGTTGAACTCTGAACACCAGGAATTATGGTTCGACAGTTGTTGATCGCCCTTTGTCTTGCAGATCGTCCACAAGACGGCGTATTGGGGGTCCATTCGAGTGGGCACGCCACTGCAGGAATTCAAGGCCGCCATGGGTTGTGCATGCTGCAATCTTGCCCAGTGACCTGCTACAGTGATGTACATGTAACGATACGTGGCGAGCACATATCAGGTGATCTTCGACACTGGCAGCGGGAACCTCATCCTGCCCACGGCGAAATGTACCTCAGATGGGTGCTATCCCCGGTGGGAATCCGTGGGATTTCAACGAGGCGTCACTGTGGAGTTCCAAGCAAGCTGACAGCAGATAATTTTGTGGATGATTATCGAAAGTGCATAGACATCAGGCAGAAGAGCAGGAGATTATTGTACCCATCTTTGCATGAAGTCAGGTGCACGCGGCACAAGAAGTACATCCCCTCGAAGTCCTCGACTTCCAAGGAGGCGCCGAGGGCCCACCTAGGGCTATGGACAACAATCGCTTTTGGACAAGTCATTTACTGCAGCCGAACTGTCAACAAATTTCTTCATCGACCTTGAAGCAGGTGACAAACGAGAACGGTGAGGGATCGACGGAGATCACATTCGGCACCGGGTCCATCACAGGCCTTGACCTTCGAGTGCGTGGAGTGTTTGGGGTTAGGGTACGCCGGCGCAGAGCCGTGCGCAGCTAAGCCTGCTCTACCAGGCGACTTTTATGAGGACCGGTTCTGCATTGCAGAGTCCCTGTGCTCGGAGGCTGGGTGTAGCCGACAAGCATGATTTTGAAGCGTAGGGTCTTAGACTCTTAGCCGTTCGACCCTCCGCCTGGATCCGGACCTCTGCAGAAAGGCAAAAACCCTTGTCCCACTGCCTCCACCATGGTGAGAGCCGTGATTAGCCGAGCAGTCGACCCCCCCAATTCTTAGCATCATTTCTGGGCCACCAGAGGCGTAGGACTGGGCTTCACAGTGACTGGACGAGAAGACTCATGTTTTTCTGCAGTTGTTTTGGCTTGGGCTCTCCGTGCACTTACCATGGCTAGAGCCTGGGCCGAGGGTATCATGTGCTAGTTATCAACAAGCTGCTTTCGGGTTTCTGTAGTCAAGACTCCCAACAGGCCCAGCACGCCCACTTAAAGCACGCCCCAACAAATTGCTGGGTCCGCCGTAAGCCGCGTGTTGGTGCACTTGCTCTGCGTTCCCTGCTGAAAGCGCTGCCTCAATTTTCTCGCGCTTGTCGCACAGTGAAGGTGCGCTTCATCGGCTCGGTCGAGCAGAGTGCTGGAAGCTGAGTGCAGCTTCGGGGATAGAGTCATGTCATCCCACTGTATCCTGCACTTCCAACACGATCTGACAGCGAAGGGTTGACCTAAGGTCGCACTTGCCTTGTTGTGGAGCAGAAAAAATTGCGGTCGCTGCAGCCAAAGCTGCGAAACGAGCAGCGCTCCGCAGCTGAGGCAGTTCCATTCTCTTCCACTCCCTTCGATGGCATCTTGGGCCTTGGCTTCAAGGCGCCCCCCCCCCCCCCCCACAGGAAAAAGATGCGCCACAGCATCGCGGTACCGGGGCCTTGAAACGCACCTGGCAAGGACCTATCCATGGGACATAACTTCAACATCTTGGACGACATGTACCAGCCAACCTCCCAGCACATGGATCCTACCGAACTGTAGAAGGCTTGGGGCGTCCTCTTGGGCTCGGCCAGGACTGGCTCCCTCCCTGCAGGGCAGTTCTCGGTCTTCTTGACTGAGGACGGAGATTTCACTAATCACTAAAGTCCCTTCAGAGAAAAAGCCATCTCGTCGCCTCCCTGTGCCAAAAGGATGGCTCCAGTGAGATCACCTTTGGCGGATATAGGCACGAGCAAGCGCTTCTCAAAAACCAACCCAAGATTTCAACTAATTTCAACCCTCAAAGATGGGCAGGCCCGAGCTGCTGGCCTCGGAGGTGGTCTGGGCGCCAGTGACGCACGAGTCCTACTGGCAGGCTGCGAGCCCAGGCTTCTCGAGCGTGCGCACATCAAAACGTCTGGGCGCGATTCGGTGTAGGGCTCCAGTCATTTTCCTTTTTAGTACTAGAGACCTCCGCAAGCTTGATAGCTGACGCTTTGTGACGGGGGAAAGGTTCTTGGGAATGGACTTCTGGGAAGGCAGCGATACAATGCATTATTTCTCTCTGCGTTGAAAGGTCGGTGTTCAGGACATCACTTTCGACAACATCGACACTGGCCTCTGCGGCACGGACGGTTGCCAGGCGCGCTATGATGCTTGTTGGGAGGCAGGCTGGGTGCCTCGGTGTCTCGTTATCGCTGCAATCACGAAAGCTGGCCCCCTTGGGAGCTTGCGATCGTGCCTGTCAAAGTATGTCCAAGGCTTCAACTGTGTGACCATTCAATGGTTCAGGGCTTGTAGGAGGAGGGGGGGGCTCCCGTTGAAGCATGTTCAGTACCCCTTACCACTTTGAGGAGTGCAGGTGCCCACATGACTGGGCATGTGTGGACGCCATTCTTAAATCGGGTGCGCAGCCCATGCAGTTTTCATTAGAAATCAATGTTTAGCTGACGCCAGACCTCCTTGGGACCTTGGCCGTAACTCAGCTCCGAAAGAGAGAGGGTTTGCCTGCAACCTCTTCAAGCAAAATCTGTCCCAGTCCGATCGCACCCAGCAACATAGATCTGCAAAAAAAGGAATCCCCCCCAAAACCATGTAGTCAAGTCGTCGTCGGCCCGGTCGGGTTCAGGTTGCCGTGGACACGGGCACCTCGATGTTGGCTGGGCCGCCAGCCCTTGTCAACAGTCTGCAGGCACAGTTCGGATGTTTCCTGCAACTTACGCATGAATCGGCGAGCCATGCTGTCTCATTTTTCCGAGCCCATGCACATGCTTGTGGTGCAGAAGTCTGTAGCCGATCGGGTGCGCCCACCTTCGTCGTTCTTAGTTCAACAGAACACCTTGACTCATTAGCTGTCAGGAGAAAGTCTCTGCCAAGGCTGCTGGCTCAGAATGTTTTGAGACCATAGCGGATAGAACTAGTACAGACAGTACAGAGTGTCCCTTGTATTTGGCCCTCTCAGCCTCAAAGGGTGCTCGGCCTCTGGGCTGGGTTCCTAAAGCTGCAGCCAAGGAAGACTGCTCCAACTTTGATAGCTTGCCCAACATCGGCTTCAAAGTTGGCAACAAGGTTGGCTGACGTTTATGCTGCTGTGTGATGTCTAGATTGACAGAACGCCGAAGGCCTTTAAAGGTCCTTTAAGCTTGGGTAGCTTGAAGTTGCCTTCGCCGCCTTCGCCTGAGCCTGCGCAGATCCTCAACCTGAAGCCGGAAGACTACATGGACAGCTGCAGTGTTTGGCCTTCTTTTCAGGTCACTTCCGTGTGAGTTGGCTAGGGTGTGATGTCTGAATTGAAGTTCAATGTCTCTGTTTTCGGCCGCGCAAATCCTTTAGGGTTCGGGGCGGTTTCATACTTGATCATACTTGCAGTGGACAGTTGGTTTCATGGACCGTGGCTGGTGTTGTGTGATTCGTAACTCTGCTCTGCAGCTGTTCGACCAAATGTAAATAACTCATAGCTGAGCTAGACTAGTAGCCCACTAGGACCTTCACCAGGCTCATACCTTTCGTCATGCCAGTCGTTGTCATGTTCGAACACATCTGAAGTTCTCACGCCGTCCGTTGAGCGCATCCGCCTGTTGCAGTTTGTCCGCTTTCGCAATGGGCTCCTCGTACGGGTGCTGCCACGGAGCGTCGCAGAGAGTTGTTTGTGACCCTGATCATAAATCGGGCACATCCCTTCTCTACCTCGACAGAGATTTTGACGATCTGGCATCGGCGAAAGCAAAGAGAAGAGACAACACGTCCCACGTGTCTGGAAAGCTGCGCGGTGTTCCTGTTCTCAGAATACCTACGAGCAACTTCCCATTGATAGCCAGCAGTATTGAGAGAAGTGCGGTGGATGAGTTCAAGCACATGCTGGGTAGCCATGGTGTAGACACAACAGGCTGGGGCAGAGATGGCACGAAGGCCATCGAGCATTTATTTTGGGAGCTCTTCGTCCAGCATGGCAGCATTCTAACTGGAATTGGGACTGGAAAGCTGAAACGGGTCACACGAATCCTGAAACTGCAGATTCTCGCGGATATCAACGGAGTCGACCACGTCATGGTGTCGCGCTTGCAGTTCACGCATGACGGCCAGCAGGTCCAGCGTCAGCAGCTTCCTTTACGGAGGCTCTGCTGGAAGATGCCTTCAGACAATGCCTTGCTACAATCCTGTGAAATCAACCTTTGCGATGAGAACAATGAATACGCAGAGTCCTGGAAGAGCTGCTGGCCATCAGTTCTGGAAGATCGACTTGGAATCTGTTCATCACTCCAGCATCAGCTGGATGAGGTCGCCAGCGCGTGCCCGAAGTATACGTTGGCAAGGAAAAGTATGTAGTCAGGAGTTATGAGGAACAGGAATGGCAATCTTTGACGACAAGCTGATGACAACTGATTTAATCCCTTCCGTCAGAGTTTTGAGGATAACTGGGCTTCTTTTCCCAGGGCTTGGTAGTGCCACGCCGAGGCAGTGTTGTGATTTTGGAATGCAGAACTTCTTCTGAATTGTCGAGGGATGTAAGGCGCAAGTGTGCAAGGGGTTTGTTCAAGGATTCGTACTTCCTCTGCAACATCTGTTGTCAGAATCTTTGCACAAGTTTAGTATGTGAGTAACGAAGCTCCACAGTCTAAGGTATCGTCAGTGCTCGGTGTTTCTGGGAAAGCATTGCATGTCTGTCGAGGTACAGCTACCACACCGAAGACAATGCCCTCAGCGAGGGCTACCCCGGCTTGAACACACTCTACTGTGTGCACCAGGCCTTTGATTGACCATCTGGAGCTGCACAGTCACGCTTCCGTTGACTTGTGTTTAGAACGGAGGCCACGTTTCGGGTGACAAACCCCGCACATGCCAAGGCCGCAGACTCAACACACTTTCCGGAATGTCTGGGATCTAGTGAGACTCAGGAGGAAAATCATAGAACAGCAAGATGGTTCCATTTGACTCTTTCGCAAGAGGTGGCGTGCATTGGCCTCCCGCTTGGGCAGGAGCCACATTGGAGGGAGAGATGAGAGTGGGCGCTGAATGGTGACCCGTAGGACTTTGCCACGGCTGATGGCAGCTTTTGCTTGGAGAGGCCGGGCATCCCAGAAACATCTGGTAAGCTCGACATGAGTGACACGAGAGGACCACATCTGCAGTGCAGGGCTGCAACTCTTTACACGCACATATCTCCTCTCTCCTCTCCTGCCTCCTCTTCTCCGTCCGTGCCAGGTTTCACAGCGAGGACACCTTGCCTATAGGCACGCAACTCAACGGTGGAATGTGCTAAATGTGTTCTACATGCAGTGCTAGATTTCAATGTGTCTTGTCTTTTTCCGTTCACGACTCCGCAGGTTCCCAGCTCAACGTTTGGTCATGGTTCCCTCGCCAGGAGTTTGACAAGGTGACACGCTGTGTAGCGCAATGATGGATGACAAGTCTCAATATCAACATGATGCTGCCTCTACTCTTGATGGCCTGCTTTGCAAGGCGAGTGCCCAGAAGAGGCCTGCCGGTTGAGCGGGCTCGAAAGCTGAGGGTTGGGGAAGCCCCGCTGTCCTTTATGTGTGAATGTGGTGATCTCTCTGGGATTTCAGGGCGGCAGCCACGGGACTGCAATTGAGTGTCGATGTCGCCTTTGTGATGCGCCCAAAAAAAAACCCCTCAAGCAGAGGCAGAACATGCCAGAGAACTCATGGAAGGGAACTTGCTGAACATCCGTCATGTTAGCTAAACAGCTGTAGCAGCTTGGAAAAAGCATTTGCCCTCGCAGCTTCTCGGAACCTACGAAGTGCAAGCAGGGCCGCAGCCTTGGATTATCGCAAAGTTCAAGAGGTCCTAAAAAGCAGCCTGCTTGAGGGTTCAGGTGTCACTTGCGGAGCCCTGAATGTTCAAACATGTTCAAACGTCAGACTCTTGAAACTTCCATCAGAGCTCTGGCTGAGGAGGAGAAATCAAGGTGCCTGAAGGTGTGGCCGGGTTGCCCAGCCTGGTCGAAGACCTTGATGATTTCGTTGAAGACCCGTGCTTGCTTGAGATGCCAACACGAACATGGGAGATGGAAACGATACTAAGGACACCCTGAACATAACAGTTATCCGTTGCACGCTGTCTGTCACTCAAGAGACGAAGTTGAGTTCTACTGAGGAGAATGAGTTGATGCTGCGGAAGCGGGTTCCTGTTTCAGACGGCGTGTCCAAGCTCGTATCCTTGGAAGTCACGGGAGTTCTGGCCCCAGTGGCCTGGTCTGCACTGTGCTCGTCTTGCTAGCTGGAATTACTGAGGCATCCACCGGCAACGCCAAGCGTGCCTCTTAGAGGGGAATGTTGATGCAATTTATGCAGAAGCAGTCAGCAAAGCAGTGCCTTCCGAGCCCTGTACCATCTCATGACATGTTCACAGTGACCTGCACGCACAGAAGTGCGCAGGTACCTTGTCGTGTAGCTGACAGCTGTTGTAGTTGCTCCCGGTAGCAGTCAGGAAAGCCGCTCCGAACACAAAGTTGCGCCGGGTTCTATCGAAAAAGAGCATGGGCCTCAAGATTGTCAAGGTTGCAGGGGCATGGGTAGACACCATGAGCCCAAGAGCAAACACTAGAGAAGACCGAGGAACCGACTGGGGCACTGTCAGGAGATCCATCTGCACGCAACTTTTTTGTTGGCATCTGCCAATGCTAGGCGATCAAAGCCTTTTTTCCTCATCAGTGTTTCTGACAGGAAGATGGCCAGCAAGATGCTCGATGTTAGCTACACCCTGCAGCAGTTCACACAGGATGTGGGTGAGTGAGTGTTGCATGGCCGAGGGACACACTTTGCAGGCACTTAGGGGCACGGCTAGGGAATCATGCAAAGAAAGCGCCGCAATTGTTGAGGGAGCGAGAACCTTTGAAGAATGGCTCTTGCGGGCCCTAGCAGGACCTAGCTGCATTTCCAGAGCTCTCGCTCTATTTGCGTGATGGAGTGCCAGCCTGAGAATGACGTCGATGCATCACAATGCAGTGGCATGTGGGACATGCGCCTCAGGTAGTGGAGACTGGATCAGGGCGAACAGCTGATGACGAGTGCGCCATCCTGTTTATGACGGCGTAGTTTTGCTGGAGGGTTCAGCTTGAAGAAGCCACAGACTTTCTGCTTCTTTTTGCGGCTTTTTGCTTCCAGAGGTATCAGCGCACCATGTGTGCTTTCTTTGCGATCTATTGGCTGATGCGCCGGGAGCCTACAGTTCGAGCCCAGATTGCCGATTGCCGAGTTCAGCGGTCGCTACTCGTTTCTGTGATAGATAAAACGCGGTTTGGGAAACCACGGCCCCCCCCCCACCTCATGACCGTGGGCTGAACTAGGGTTTCTTTCTGCATCACCTGATGCCAGTTTCCTGAATTCCGGTTTCCTGAATCACGTCCAGTTCTTACCTCGCGCGCCGATTCTTGATGATGTGATCATGGATCTTCCTTTTTTGGTGCTCTAGCTTTCCGGATGGGCTCAGGGACCATGCCATGCAAGCTGGATGTTGCAAGATCTGGGACAGCTTGTGCTAACAGATCTCAACGTCCAGCAGAGTTCATGCGGTGCGCTTTATGGGACAGACCATGAAAGTTCATGAAAGTGATGGCTCGATCCCTGTCTCTCTCTCTCTCACTCTCCCTCCCTCCCCCCTCCCCTTCCCGAATCTGCGTCATGAGCATGGGCGGATGTGAGCACCTCATCAGGTCTGGACATCGACGGTCGGCAGGGCTTCTGCTTCGGAACGGACGAGACCTGGACAGCCTTGGAGGCACCGGGCCTGGGTTGCGAGAGTCTTTGGTGATTAGGCGCCGAGGTTATCAAAACGCACCGGTGGCTGACAGTACTTGGGGAAATTGGTTTCACTCTCCCGCTCCACCGGCATATGCTCCGGTATTCTGATCCGCCTGACTCCGGTTGATCCTGTCTGAAGATTTGTCTGAAGCTCTGCTTGGAACTGTGCCTTCCACCTTCCTCGTTGGTAGTTTCTCCTGATGCCGGCTTGATCAGGAGTCTGCAGTTCAGGATGGGCAGGCCTTGAGAGACCTTGAGAGACCTTGAGAGTAGCTTGAGATGCTTCTTTGGTACCCCAACGTTTGGTGATGTTGGTTTGCGTCAGGGTAGTAGTTCTTAGAGCGTGTTGGAGAGGGCATAGCGACCGACTTTGAGAGCTTGCGGAAGTTCTTCTCCTCTGACCCGACCATGTGGCGTTGCTTTTGACAATGGAATCCAGCTGCTTGTTCTGCTCGTAGCCAGAAGGGCTGAAGGATGTCACATAGTGAAGGTGGCCATGAAGAGCGGGACTGCTCCAACCGAGCTGCAGAGGCGTCCCGGCCCCAGATTCCTTGAGGGAGCAGCTGGGCTGAGTTTGTGTGGTTGATACGAGATGATACGAGATGATACGAGATAGTATTGATTGCTATGAGGTGAAGTGCTTAGTTGCCATTCCTTGCGTGTGGCCAAGGTCTGTACCAGCTCGAGCGGCGCTTGGCGTTCTTTAACAATGCCCAGCTGGAGTCCCGGAAAGCGGTCGCGTAAAAGTGCCCCGACGTTGTCCGCTTGCACTCTCTACTCACCCACCCATCGAGGTGGAGCTTTTTTCGTCGGCTTATGGTTGATGTCGGGCACTCATGCTGCGCAATGAATGGGCTGCATCGCGAAGCTCCCCCGACGTGATTGATTTGAGCTTGTCATGGCGCAAGAAGTCATGCCAGCTGCAGGGTCGCGTATAAAACGGGCCTGGACGCTTGCCCAGTGAACATCCAGTAGATTCACTAGACAGTGACATTCAGCACATCTTAACACACGTTTCAAAGTCTTTCAGAACTGTTCTGTGCCTTCCGGAGAGTCTCTCGTCTCTCCCGAGGCCGGCCTTCTGGAACAGACGTGCCAGGGTGGCAGGTCGGGGAGCTTGGGGGAAGAGTTTGCTGATGTAAGCGAAGACAAGAGTGGCATGTGAGAGCAGATGTAATGCTTGACCACCCGCGAGACTTTCATTGTATTCTGTAGTCGTATGCTGGCTTGGTTTCGGCTTTCATCCCACTCCCATCACCGAGAACGTGTTGCTTGAATTCCGATTCCTCCCGGCCCAGCGTGTCAGGAACACCTTTCGCATCAACGAGACTCGGATGGTTTCGCTCTTGGCCAGCCCCTGATGTCTTCATGGCTTTGCTGTGGTTCATGAGTTCATGGCTACTTCGTCGTCTCCTGTCTCCAGCGGCAAGACTTGCGTGGTTAACAGGCCTTGACAGCCATCCACGACATCATGAAAATCGAGAACCTGCTGCCAACGGCAAGCCTGACTCATTAGACCATGTCATCTGCTACTTGCATGCTGACTGCATAGCTGCTGCTCGTGCAAGCTTCGACCTAGACAGACAAGTGGCCCATTGGCAAAGTCACGAAAGTTTGTGAAGTTAGGCTTAAAGTGGGCACGCGGCTTCTGATTGGGGAGCAACGTTCTGGTCGCGAAAAACTTATTCGCCTGACACAAAAGAACCTCTGATGAAGGAACGAGTCGAAACAAACAGATCCGCAGCAGCCAGGCTGATTAGGTTGATTCGACTGGCTACCATAATAACCATGACAGCATGTCCGGTTGAGCTAGCTCCTTAAAATTCTGGGACCTTCGGGGCACCCCTGTAGCTTTCATTCGCCCTGCTCTCCAGTGCCCTTGCAAAGTGCAGGTGCAACCAGAGCATGATGGATACCATGGTCGCACAGCTGCAATAATTGCATAGTCACGATGATCTTGAATCGTCCTTGTGGTGCCCTGTGTGTTTAGGGGTGACAGGAGTGTCGGCTAGTTTTGGGTTCAAAGGCTATGCCGCTGGAGATGTCATCGGAGACCACGATCACGCCTTGTGCTACGTGATGGACTGCGGTTGGTTGCAGTTGTTATTCGAGCTTTGCAGGGGTTCGCTGCAGCCCGGCAGTAGCCATCGAGGGAGCTCGGGGCATTTACTCAGATTTTCCTGGAAAGGAACACTATCCGGACCTTCTGCCCTCGTTCAAAGACCTTGATCCAGCAGAGAGACAGTCGGTTCAATTTACGCAGCGCGAGTCTCAGATGGAGCTTCTTCCCCACGGAAGATGACATGTGACATGCTGCCTCCATTGGACTTGCGGAGATGGATGTGCAGGGTCACCACTCCAGAATCGCGTGCGTCGTGTTGCCCACCGGAAACCAACTTACATGGAATACCTGGTTCTATTGCGAAGAAGGGCATGGGTAGATTTCATGGTCATTTTGCCTGCCTCTCCTTCCATCCCTCTCTCGTTTTAAATGGAAACGCTTGCGCACCCTGCCTCGGCTGGGCTGGCCCGATGCGGGAATGTAGCGTGCGCAAGGCAATGGTCCCGGAAAGAGCGGACTCAGCACAGGGGTTTTCAGGGTGCCAGCAGGTGCCAGGCAGGGGGTCTGAGGGGGGGGGGGGGTCGTGGTCTGTGTGGGTGGCCCACAGCGTAGAACCCCTTCTTGGCATCAGATGGCGCTCCGCCAAGCGGCTTGGTCAGGGGCAGAAAGTTTTGGTTGGGGGAAGCCTGGTCTGCTTGTTCTTGTGTGGAAGCCGAGGCGACTTCTTCATTCTTACAAACCAAATAGATAATCAACACAGATACATGGATGCGTGCAAAAGTACAATTACCGTGCAGGTGCAACCTGTGCTTCAACCATGGCTGGCTTGTACAGGCAGAGGCCAGAAGCGAGAGTTTTGTTTGCATATTTTAGCGCTTTCATGCTTTTAGCTTCGCAAGAGAAGCAGACTCTGTAAGATATGCTGCTGCGTCCCTCGAGGGTTCTCCACTCCGACACAGGCCCCTCCCGGCGCGATCTTTACGAAGTTCCGCGAGGCTCGAGAAATATCAGCAGAAGCAGTGGCAGTTGCTGAGGTTCAAGAGAACAGATAGAACAGTGGCTGTTGTGATGAATCTCATCTCAGGCTCTTGCGCGAGACCACAGGCCTGGGCAGTGCTTGAGTGAGGAGCTTGACTGTGACAAGTCTCGCAAGTGAAGTGAGGCATGGTGGGGCAAAAGACATCGCCCTCTACTTTGTACATTGGCTGACTGACTTGGCCAGGGCCTCACATTGCTGGCGTGCTCCCTTCTTTCTCACACCATTTTAACGAGAGCCACCTGTACGAGAAACACATTTTCACGGCTCGTCTCTTTCTCTTCAGAGTCTCAGCTACCACAGATGCCAACTCAAGCTTCCCCCCAAATTCAGCGAAGGAGTGGCGCTGCTTCTTAAATTAACTTTCTTTCTTAGCTTCTGTTTTTCTCCGTGGAAGGTTTAGCTTCAACGCACCTCGCTTTCTGGCTTTCTGAGGCTGGTGCGGAACCGACACCCCTGGGTGGATGCGAGAAGTTCGCGATCAAATTTCCGCTTCATGACCGGCTCTGAGATGCCCCTAGGGCCCTCTCCTACTGTAGGGCCTGGGGCGCTGGGCTCCCCTACTAGATTGCTGGAGATTGAGGGATGGGAGACGGGATTGCTGGAACAGCAAGAGGCGGGGGGCCGAGGTGCTCAACAGCTTCCTCCAGTCCTTCAAGTTCATTGAGGGCATCTCGGTGCGAACCGAGACTCAGGCGCCGTCCTCAGCAAAGCTGCTCACCGACTGGCCTTTAGCTCTTACCTTGAATCTGAACATATCAGCTTCCACATTCAGGGGCCTAAGGCCTCACCTGCTATTGTCAAGTCAGAGAGTGAGAGGATGTGAGAGGTCATGGAGAAGTATCTGAAGTACCGCTGGTCAGACCACGTGCCATCGCTCGGGGAGCCACCCCAAGGCCTTGGGGAATGGCTGAGCTGGGGTGTGGCAGTTTGTCAACCGCACATGTTGGAAGGCCCGCACGCTCTTGCAGCCATGAGGCTGCTGTGCATGGCGCAGGCCTGAAAGCTTGCTTCCACCCGGGTCTCAGGGTATACAGGAGTATTCTTGCTGGGTCTCGAGCTTGAGGGTTTAGGCTCTGGGGTCGTTGGGATGTCGCTCGTTCGAGGCAAATGGGCGGACCATCGTCGACGCTTTCAATCAAGAGCTTCCTTCGGAGGACTCATTCTAGATGTGCCATGCTTGATGAGTCACACTGCTTTATTATGTTACTCTTGTCTTTTCAATCAGAGAGTGTTTTGTGAAATGCTGCGTGTAACACAACTGCCCCCCCCCCCCTCCCTCCGCACATTTGCAAATTTTGAGTCTACATTTGCGAGTCGTGGAGCTCGGAGTCGAGAGTGTGGGGCTTGAGAAATCAAGTTTAGGGCTTAAAGGATTGGAGGTTTCCGAAGTCCTGACGTCGTCTTTCTCGGCCGAGGCCAGACCCCTAGCGACCCCTCGGGGGGTTTTAGGCACCACGTAGCGACCTGCATGGAACCCTTTTGGGACAGGCTTTTTGTTTAGCGAGTATTCCTAAGGACGCAAGCTCTAAACTGAAGGAACAGCGGTCAGTCAATAGGGAGGGGTCAGACAGAGGTGGGGAAACAGAAGGTCCTCATGAGAACCTCTGTTGCCTTTGCCCAGGGCCAAGGCGACTCAGAGTCATGCACAAAATCAGTCATCGCACAGTAGCGCTTAGGAACGGATGTCCATTATCCTCACAAGGACTCTGTCAATGTGCGTTTGTCTTTCACTTGTTCTCTTCGCTCACTTTTGGTTCCTTACAATTGTCGTATGGTTTTATGAAGTTATAAGGAAGAGAGCGAAGCAAGAAGACGCACACACTTCATGAAAGGGGGAGTAACAATGGCACACACACGCCCCCGTGCTCTCTCTGTTGGGCGTCTGATGATGACATGAAGCGTGTTCATAAGTTTTTTACACCTTTTGAGTTTGTAAGTTTGTGATAACCCGTCTATCTTTCAGGGGGGTTGGGGCATGTCCAGAACATCGTCAGTGGTGTGAGGACAAGGATGTTCTCAGCATCGAAATGTCCCGGACTGGCTGCGCAGGCCGCCTTGCGCGTGCTGGTAGTGCGCAGGTCGTGGCTGATGTTGTTGCGGACAAGAAGCATATCAAGCAAACGATGTGCACATGCGTGCACTAGCCATACATGCCTTTTCAGCTTTAGTCGTATTGAAAGTTCAAGCCAAGGCCCCATCAAAGCCCTTTCAAGTGTTCTACGCAGGGCTTGCAATTTAGTCCGAATGCCTTTGTGCTGTGAGCAGGGCTGCTGGCTGTAAGCGCTTAGAGCGTTACATTGCTTTCTATCGGCACATGGGATGCCCTTCTTTGCATGTGAAGAAGATATGAGAAGATCAACAAAGGCAAAATGAGTCAGAACTGACCGAGCCAGGCCAATTCTTCAGCCCGGATCTGACACCTTCGGAGGTCACCAAAGCGGTCCCCTGGCTCCAAGCTGCTCCAAACTTCAAGGGCTCAGAGGTTGCTTTGGATGCTGAGAGGATGCTTTGGATGCTTTGCTTGAGGCTGCGAGCGGGCTGCTCTTGACATTGGCCCTAATGGCTCCCTCCGTTGTCATATTGTGGTCCTTGACATGTCTCACACAACCTTGTAGGGTTATTGATAGTGTCACAGAACACCTAAGGGGCAACAGCACAGGCGGGCAAACAGCAATCAGCGGACGAGCGCGCTCTAAGGAGGCTTGCGCCCACAGCCGACCACTGTGTCCTGTACGGCGCATGGCGCATTGCCTCTCTACCGCGCGTGTTGGTGCGTGCACGCCTCTGCACGCTGTGCGCATGCACACGCGCACGCGGGGGGATAGCATCACCTGCTCCATTGTTCGAACTCCGCATCGGCCCGACGATTCTGGCCATCAGAGGAGCCAGGTTGCGCATCATCCACCCTTCCTTTCCACAAGTATCTGCAGGCTTTGAGGCCCCTGGATTTCCAGGCTCCCCAAGGCCGAGCATCAGAGGCCTCCAGAGAACCTCACATCACCTTGCCGGCCCTGCCTTGCCCCTCGTTTTTATCCTTTGAATCGAAAAAGGCTGGGCCGGCCTTCCTGGTCTACTATGGGCCAGCTTTTCTGCAAGCTCTAGGTGCGCCTGATGCGTTTTCCGTGTCTTTGACATGTCTTGAGCTGTGCACTGGGCCTTGAGGTGCAGATTGTCCGGTGCTTCGCATGGGCCTTGGTTCAGACATGGCTTGGAGCAGAGGACCCTCGAAGCCGAGTGAGGAGGATTGAGCGGAATTGCTATAGAGCAGCACGTTCATGAGCTTTCATCCTTTGCTGTATTGGTTTTCTGCAGGTCTTCGGGTCCTTAGCGAGATCTACCGTTGCGCTCGAGAGTTATGGCCTGAGGCTCCCGCATGCCTTGCTGCGCCCACTAATGTACTTTACTTTACTATCAGCGGTGCTCTACCCTCCATGACCCTCCTGCTTTCACATGATGTCACATGTCCACTCTCAGCTGTCGCTGCCCTTCTGCTTCTCTTTCCCACGCATGACACGCATGTTACAATTCTTCGTGCTGCATCGTTCCATTTCTTTGTATTCGCTGCTGGCTGTGGCTCTTGCTCTTTTGGTTGTGTTGAAGTGATCGCTTTGCTGTCATTGTCGACATCTTGCTGATCCCTTGGTTAGGGAAGCCACGTGATCCACTTGCCTGCACTCATATCGAGCAAGAGAAGCGTTTCCTTGTGGATGTTATTGTAGTTCGCACCAGTGGGCAGATAGATCGGGATCCGGGCCTCTTGTGTTACGCCAGCATGCAGCTAACGAATGCTCCGTGCCAGTCGCAAGCCGCGGCGGCAATGTCTGTGCATATTCGCATCGACACCATCAAGGCTTGTGATTTCAGCCATGCGTGGTATTTCCCATACCTGCATCTTCCGTTCTTGGATGCATCAGGTTGCTCCAGTGTACAAAACCCATGCAGAAACGCTTGGAACCATCTTGACTGGCCTAGCTTGTGGTGCAGGGCCTGGCGGTACAGGAGATTCAGGACGTGCTTACCAAAGGTGGGGTGTCTTTTCATAGAGGCTGTGCAATTAGGCTGCAGGCATCAATGCAACATTCCTTCAAATTCAGGCGAGCTTTGGCTGGTGACAAAGCACAACGAGAGTGAGGCCGTAATCAAGATCCGAGATCCACGTGGCTGCTCCCATAATGTAGCAGCTTTTGCTGCAGCTGCGAGAGGGATGTCTTCATGCAGGAGCGAAATTCATGCTATTCCTGATTGCATCTCGCCGGCGTGCGTCGCCCGTCAGGCCTTTGTGGAGCGTGCCTCTCACCGAAAGCTGAACAGGCAGGGGCTGTGCAGGGGCCGTGCCCAGTTCAGCTTCTGTTTGAGGACCTTGGCTGCGTGGGCTTCTTGTCGAGCTGCTGCTGGTAAGGGCTGAAGATGGATGGCATATTATTGATATTGCATCCTTGCATGAGGGCTTCAGGTTTAGACTGCCACATGCTTGAAACAGTCCTTCCGGAAGGCAGAAGTGAATAAGTTCGGCAGAGTTTGCTGGCAAGGTTTGTGCGGAGCTGCCAGAAGTTTCAAG